ACCTGTCTCACTGATTACCATGCACAAATGGGCAGCATAACAACAGTCTGGGTATCTGGGAAATACCAGAGTCAGTAAAATCAGTCTTTATTGGAGAAAGAGACATATAAACTGAGGCTGAAGGACAGCTAAGTACAAGCAACCTGGCAGATCTCATCTGTAGTACATCATTCTTGTCTACATCACAATGTGGGTTCACACATGACCAACAGAAACCCTGAGAGCCTAAAGAAAATTCTTTTAACACTCTGGAACTTGCTGTTTGGCCATGTCCCTGCATGGGCTGGTGTCTGGCACAGCACTGGGGGATGTCCCCCCCTCAGATGACCTTCAGCTGTGTGGAACTGCACCACAGGTTAGGGCCAGGGGACACCCATCTGTTACCATGGCAGCATCAAACCAAATTAAATTTCCAAACATGTGCTCCTGGTGAGTTACAAGCTCCCCAGGCAAAGTGGGGGAAGGCTCAGATGATGGGAAAGTTCCCCTTAACTACATTTGCTCAGCCTTGGAGTTGGATTACTTGAAAATACACAGCTATATTTAACCCCTGGCATACATTTCCAAAAATCCTATGCTAGGAATTCACAGAGAAAAAACATGCTTGTGATGCTTTTGATCTTCCAGCAGGGCTGCTCCCCTGAATTAGCAGCACATGCCCTGGCAGCAGAGCCCTCCTTGGCTTTGGGACTCAAGGGGGCTGGAGCAACAGCCTGGCAGATTTATTCCCCCTAAACTATGGCAATGTTTGGACAGCACTGGCTGTGTAAAACTGCCCCAAACTTTCAGAGGAGCAGATTAAAGTCCCGTCTCTGCTCTCGAAGAGCAGAGACAGGATTATTTTCCATGAGAAAACAAGAAACAAATTTTTTTTTTTTTTTTTTTTAATACAGCAGCTATCTTTAGTTATTTGTACATAACAGAGCAGCTCCCTCCCTTAGTGGATATTACACACACACACACAGAGCTGCTCAGGTCATGCAGATGGTTTCAGCTCATATTATTCCTCCCAGCCATGAATGTGTGAGCCCAGCTATCTCCTGTAAGTATGAGCCACACCATGGCAGCACTCACACCCATTACATCAATTCCTTAAACTGCTCTGGAGAAAAAGAACACAGAAATATGGATGACACATGCCATACGAACCAATTAGTAATGGAGATTTCAACACCTATGCTCTTTCAACAATAAAAGGATAATGTATGGAGCTGGCAAGGATCACACTGAGGAGGGGAGTGGATACCCTTCTCCAGCAGTAGTGTTCAAGTCAAAACCAAGGTCCCCACCATGCTGGAAAATTTCCATACAAACTGTTCCTTAGGTGTCACACACATTACAAAACAGCTCATTATCAGAGCACAAGAAATCAGTCAAATATTAAAATAATAGTCAAATTCCCATCACTGGAAGTAAGGTTTCCTTGAAAACAAAGTTACTGTACTGAAAACACGACCTTCATCCCAACTTCCATACAGTTCTTGGGAAGAAGTGCTGGCTCTGATCCACACTGCAGTCAGTACAAGACCCTTTGTTAGCAAGGCAAACAGCAGGAGGAAGGCTGAGTGATATCAGTTTACCACTGCAGCTTGGTATCTGCACCAGAAAGAGATGACTCCTAAACACTTCCTGTCAGCACATTAAAAAAATAAATACCTCCCTTTTGCTGTTTGAGAACACATACTTACAGACACAAAGTGATCCTGAAAAATATTAAAGGCCAAGCACCAGCCCACAGGCGAACCACAGTAATTTCCTGCCCTATTTATAGGAGGTGCTGTGGTGTTTGTTAAGCCTTTCTGCTGCTCCAAATTCTTGTCCTGGGTGTCCCACAACTTCCCCAGACAGGGGGAGATGAAAGTCTGGTGTATCCACCCACAGGTTCTCCAGCTCTCTTCCTTTCAGCACGTTTCAGCTTTGCTATATTCATCCATGTATAACGTAGCATAGACAGCTCATCCACTTTGGGTTTTGCTCATCATTTTACAAATGTAAGTGGGATGAACCCTTTTACAAGAGGTAACATTCAGCACTTGCAAAGGCACCCACATGAATAAGAATAATCTGCAATACCTAGGAGGGCAGGTACAAACCTCCCATAATCTGCAAGATGCCACACATTAAACTCTAAAATCACGCCCTAAACAAGAAGCAAATAAGAAAAAAAAAGGAAAAATATCTCTGTTTTTCTATAAACAAACCATATAAGCAGAGATAGCCCTACTCAGGTTTATTCACCCAAGTCTTCTTTTCAGAAGTGTGCAGGAGAGAAAACTGGCCTTGATTTATTGACCTTCAGCCAGTTATCAAGGACGATGCCAACATTTTCTGGGGTTTTTATTAAAAACCCAAATGCTGCAATGTTCTCCAAATGTTCTTGGTCCCAGAGCCCGTGCTCCATACAAGCACATCCTCTCTTACCCACATTATTTTCTGCATGCAGCTGAAACTAATCACCAGAATTACAGGCTTTTGTTTAGACAAATATCTACAGTATGAAAATATAGAGGTTTTGGGGGAAAAAAAGGCCCTGAAACAGATTTTATGCAGAGGACGAGCTATAGAATAGTGTATAATAGATTATAGAAAAGCCAGCCAACTCTTATCTGGAGCAAAGGAAGACAGGGAGACTCCCCTCAGCAGAACAACCCAGACAGGATGATGATGGGAGGACAGGTTCTCACCTAAGTAATTTTTCACGGAGCCAGTGGGGTCCTTGTCATGTCATTTTTGGCACTGGGACAAGGCTGATAAGCACTGATGGTCCCACATGGTTCTGCAGCACTAAACTTCACTTGACAAGGCTTATTAGCACTGGCTTGGAGCCTGACAGACCCAAGCTGTCTCTAATGCTCAGTTTGGGCCAATTTGCCTGATGCTCTCCAACACAGGGAACGAGGCAGAGAGGCCAGGTCTGGCTCTGCAGAGAGCTCCCTCAGGTTTGGCACCACCAGCTTGGGACTGTGCCACATGGAAGTGAAGACACTTCTTGATGGATTTGGGAAGGCACAGGTTTGGTCCAGCTTTCTAAGCTGACACACCTGGCAGGGAGTGAGCTGATTCTTCACAGCTCGGCTCACATGTGTCTGCTCACGGCACTGGGACTCTGCAAAGGGAAAAGGAGATGGCAGGAGGCTTCCTTCCCTCTGAGACCTGCTGGATTTCTATACAATGAGCAAAGTTAAATCTCCATTTATTGGGAGATTTTTATATTTTTTTTACATCCCCCCAAATCTCCTCATCAACATGTCTGTCCTATCTCCCTAAACACTGCAAGTAACTACTGCACCAACACCACCCCTACGAGGACTCCTATGTTCTGCCTTAGAAGAATCATGGAATGATTTGGGTTGGAAGCATCCTCAAAGATCTTCTGGTTACATCTTTCACCACCCCACGTTTCTCCAAGCTGGCCTTGAACACTTCCAGGGATGGGGCAGCCACAGCTTCTCTGGGAAACAACACTCTTTTTTACAGTCAGACAACAAAGAGCTCTGTAACCACGTGCACCTGAGAAAAGCAAGCCATAAGCATAATTCTCATTTTTCTCACATGAGGAAAACTGCAGGTCTGATGAGTGGGGGGGGGTCAGTCCCATCCACTGCAGCCTCCTGAATGAGCAAGTGGAGTAACATCAGAGGAGGCAGCACAGACCAAATGTGTCCTTCCAGCCCTGTCCAGCATTCCTGACCCAGCACGTGCCCCCTGCATGCCTCTGGTTATAACTTGATCCAGCTTTCAAAAGCAACATGCATCCCACTATCCAACAGAGCAGCACTTTCTCTCCATTGAGAACAATGACTTGAAGTGACTTTTTTAGCTGCAACATCCTGGAACTGGTTACAGACTCTGGTCCTGAATGAAATTCAGTTCTTAAGACACACTTGTGGAACATTAAATTATAGTAATTGTCAAAATTTCCTCGTTATTTATACTCCAGACAGCTGCTGTGGCTACAGTGAGAACAGCAACCACCCTCTTCAAAGCAGCAAAAAGGAGCACTGATAAATCTTCCTGATGGTTTGCTTTCTACAGAGTGCTTGCTCCATGCTTTCAACAAGATTGATAACTTCCAAGATCCAGCAAAAAGCCAAGAGAGAAGAGCAGAACAGAGTGTGAGTTTTGACTTAGGGCGTCAAGCTCTCTTAAATCTTCATTTCATTTTACTACATGAGTGGCTGTGCTCATGCTGAAGTCATGAAGGTAGGGGCAGACAGGAACACTCATAAAAATAAAAAAAACATTAAAAAAGCTTCCCACAGAGAACAGATATCCAAGTGTCCCAAAGCAAGCATTTGCAATGCCAAAGGAAGACAATAGAACTTATGATGCAAAATTACTTTTTCTCAAGATATTTCAAACAAAGTTACTTCTTTCTGTATCATAAATTTTAAAAACTCTTCATTTAAATGCATTTTAAAAACAAGCTTTTTATTATTTCTGTTCTTCATAAAATTCTGCTATACCTTTAGCTTCAGCAATACTCACAGCAAATATACTCCTGAGGTATGATTATACTTTTAATTTTCCTGGACTGATTTCTGGTTCTCCCAGTTTGAATATTAAATACAAGCAAGATACAAACCAACTTCTTATCTGTCAACAAATTGCACCTTGAATTTTATGACATTTTTTCATTTCATTCATACTGCTCATTTACTTAGTTTCATTTCAAAAGATATAGAAACTCTTAATCATACTTTCAAGTATCTAATTCTTTTTTCTATATATTTCTGTTTAATTATGTGATATTTCAGAAATATAAAGTAGCAATATAAAAATAATCTCAATTGTAAATATGTGATATATTATAAGGCCTGATCCAGCTACTGTGGAGTACAACAGGGCAAGAACTGTAATATTAATGTTCTGAAGATTATACTTTTAGTCCACTACTGTGAAAAATTAATTAAAAATTGTTACTAAAAGTCTCAGACATGGAAGTCTGAGACTGTCACTCAGCCACTCACACACAAACAACAGACCATTTTACTACTTACCATTTGAGACCTGTTTTTTGGGCAGCCATTGATGTCTTCAATCTTTTCATTTGCTGAAAGGCAAAAAAAAAAAAAAAAAGAGGCAATAAAGCAAAAAACCTAAACCAAGGGCATTTATTCCAATGATTCCTTGAGCACCTGCTGCCAGCTCAGTGAAGGGGTTTGGGATTGTGGCCGTCCCGTCCAAGGGAACGTGTGAAACACTGAGAGCCACAAAAAGGAAAAAAGCAGCTGGGGTTCTCCACTGGGTCGTGCCTCCAGAGACAGCTGGGGCAGAAGGCAACTGCTCTGACAACCTCTTGTACAGTGACAGGGAATTCCTTTCAACTGCAAGGAAGATGTGAGCTCTGGAAGCTGAATCACTGCTGGGTGCAAAAGTGAGCACTGCACATACAGAGATGTTAGCATGGCAGATGGTTTGTTTGCAGAGTGAATACAGGTTTGAAATCCAAATGGTAAATTTATGATCAATACTAATAATTTTTTTTCTTTCTTTCTTTTTTAAAGCACAAATCATGAAACAACTTTCAAGATTCTTGACCATGGCTCACATGCTACCCCAGCCTGCAGAAGAGCAGAGTTTGCATCTTTAGAAGAGCACAGTTTCCATCTTTAAGGTCAGAGGTAAAACAATGAAATCCCTGAGGTGGACAATGGTCAAGAATCTTGACCATTGTCCAATCTTGCCTTAGAGTCTGAGTTTGCTCTGTTTCACCTTTCAGCCTTGGATGCTGAAATGACTTTGTGTTTGAGTCTGAAGAACCAGTTACAACCAAAGTCCAGTTTCCCATAGCTATTTTACTGTAATAAAGGCAGGCACTCACATCCCATTTGATTCATGCATTAAAAGCTGTATTTTGTTCATGTGTTCTCAGGACACCAGTCAGGACTCCATCCACTTCACGGATCCCCTCTGTCAGGAGGACCACATTTGGCACAATATTCCAGTAGCAGTCATAGCCATGAGAAACAAAGCAGTAACAGAGCTTCACTCTTGCCTGATAGCTCCCATTTTACACACCCATGACACAATGCAATGAGAAACTGATGCTAATCTGAGAGAGACTGCAGCTGAATTCACAGTGTGCTCCCCATCAGCCTCTACACATGAAAAGCACACGCTGCTTCCAGGAATGCCATCTCAGGTTTGGCCATACAGAAACAGAGATTAATTCACTAAACCCCATTTTCCAAGTCCCGTGCACCCATCTCGTAATATTAAATTTATTACACTTTTAAAAATGGATAACTGTACTGCTATAAATTGGCACCATTCACAGCTACTTGAAAGCAGACTGATGAACTTGTGAAGGAGGTGTCTCTTGTTTGGGACACATGGACAGAGATACCTCCAAGAACCCAGGCCATACCCAGTGTGCCTGCATTCATGGATTTAAATACAGCTGCTGTGTTTATATGGCATTACTAAGGCATATAGGACTTACATGTTCTTTTACAGGCTCATAAATTTTGAACTGAAATGAACCAGCATGGTGTGAATGCATTTTAATTGACTTGGAAATAGCTGCTTTTGCACATAGCACACCATAACATAAAAAAAACCCAAAAAACCTCTCCTGCACTGCATATCAAAGCTTTCTTACTATGTAGTTAGGAAAAAAGCTTGGATTTTGCAGGCTACAGAAAAAGCTGCTTCTGTGTGTGAAAGCCCTCCTCATCTTTGTGACAATGAGATGCAGCTGCCTAAAGCCATACACAGCAGAAACAAATTACTTTTCTGCACTATTAATTTGCTGGATTAAACTCAGAATGTTTAAATATGACCTTTCTTCCACATGAAAAAGGTTCTTCAAAAAAGAAATCCTTCCCCTCATACTTCAACTTTTGAAACCTTGCAGACCTTATCTTAAATATTAGCCAAAAGGCAGCTATAAAAATGACCAAAAAAAAACAACCTGCAAAGGTGATCAAAGCAATAACTGGTTATGTACTTTAGAAGGAATAATTTGAATTTCATAAGGGTTTTCACGTGTCAATACTCAAAGAGCTACATTTAAATATTTGGTGGAAGGAACCAAGTCCACGTTTTGATGGTGGTATTCTTGCACACATGTTCTCATGCAGAAGTTTCCTACAACTGTGTTAAGGCAGGGTAGCCAGACAGGCATGAAAGGAATCAACACCTAACTGCTCCTGGGTTTCCAAAACCCCTTCCTATTAAAGGAAAGGGCTATAGGAAGGAGCATTGTTCAAAGTGAATGCCTGTCAACACACAGCCATCAATTCATTCATGGCCTGTTTTTACACCTCTGTAACTGCACGGGCAGGTCTGCAGTGCTACTGAGATACAGTGCTGCTCTACAGCAGAGAGACAAAATCTTTTTGAACATATCCCAGTAGAATCACTGGAAGATGTTTCACTGTGTCATCCCACAACAGGGCTTGCAGATCCCTACCTCAAACCCAGCAGCAGCTCCCTTACAGCATCTCAAACACACATCATAAATATGCATGCACTGATGTCCTGCTCCTTCATTGCCTGCTTCTTAATTTGCATCTCAAATCTGTCAGTTTGCTCCTAACAATGGCTGTCCTAATTCCCATTAGCAGCTTTCCCATTCCATCCGTCTCCATTGGCCCATGCATGTGTTTTGTGGCATCCCCAGATGGATGAGCCTCTGAAGGAACTAATGAAGGATCCAGGCCCAAGGGAAGAGGGACAATATGCAGCTCCACATGGAGAAAATTGTTCAGAACTTTCATTACCCACGAGCATTAATGCACTAATTTAAGAGAACTAAAGGCTTTGGATAAAATAACTGAGCCTGCACTTGAGATTTGTCCTAAGGTAAGTGATTTTCCTCATCTGAAAACTCGTTATCAAACATTTCTTTTTCTGCCACACAAAAATTACATCCTTTCTCCTTTCCCAGCTGTATATATGGATCTCCCAAATCCAACTGGAGGCAGGAGGTTCAACACAGGAGGCAACATCACTGTGAATTATATTCAGACCAGTACTCAAGAGGTATTAGAAATAGTGAGGGCTAACAGCATCCTAGCAGAAAAAAAAATAAAAAATCTCATGAGTTGTTTTTTCTACCATTCAGCCATGTGGAGAAATACTGCTGTGTCAGGAGATCTTATCAGCAACATCCAATATTTTCCCACTACAAGACAAGGCTTTTTCAAATTAATTACCAAAGCCTCTGAAGGAAAATGATCTACATAATTCCATGCAGTTTGATGGATAGCCCCCCATGCACTCTGTGTTAGTGTAGAAGATAAAAACGGGGATTGTCTGACTGAGCTGGTGGATACTTGGCACAAACACAGAAAGTCACTCACCTACAACTTGGATTATTTCAGCTAGCAGGACTCCATCAGTCACATCTTGCTGTAGATCTTTTATCAATCTCTTGTGACCAGATTTTGCCAGATAGTGATTAGCCCAATCCGTATAAATCTGTTGGGAGACAGACAAACAAAACCAAACTGTTACTCAACCTGAAAAATGACAAGTCTTTGTTTATCTCAGTATCCAAAAGGCTGGTTTCAGACCACTGCCTTTTTCTTTCCCCTCTTCTAAACAAGTCAACAGCAGTAAAATTCAAGGCTTTGAAAATGGACTTTTTTATTCAGCAACCTGACATCAAATCCCAAGGCAGATGACAGTGAGCTCCTGGACATGTTACAGCTTGAATGGACCATCAGGAGGCCAGTGGAATATTCTACAGCAGCAGTGAGTGTGCACAAGAGATTTCAATTACCACCCAAGCTTTGGTTCTTTTCCCAAAAAAGCTTCTGGTAGATATTAGCCATACAGCAGATTCATTGTGAGGAAACTCCTTTATTGTATTAGCAAAGAAACCTTTAAAGGTCCTAAACATCCACCAATTTTAATAAATTCCATCTCAGAGGTTAAACAGGCCCATTAAATCACTTTTAATCTATTATGCAAACTTCCAGCTCTTGGAATTTATTTCAAAATGTATTACCTGAAAACTAAGCAGACCAAGCAGCCAAAATCTCTCTTTAATTTGCATTAAGCACTGGTTATCATATGCCAGCACAACTTATTCAAGATCTCCAGAAAACCTATAAAAACTTTTCATGCTAGGTTATCAAAAAGAAGCTAAATTATTTCATTATGAATTAAATAACACTATTCTTTGCATAGGAAAATATTCTGAATTAAGATTTTGTAAAATTACCTATCATGTTCCCAAAAAACAGGGTAAAAACAATTAAATATCAGGATTTTACCTTTTAAACATATAAATATTAATGTTCATCCCTACTCTGAAGAGTGTCTAGAATATTGGAAACACATTCATCCCAAGCCAGTCTATCAGTAGGCAGATGTAGATTCCATGTGCTTCCAGGGGCACGAGCCATCCCAGCCCTCAGAGAGCCTACAAATGCCTCCACACCAGGCTGAGAGTCACTGCCCCAGAGGGACCAACAGTACTGAGACCCCAAAAACCCAGGGAAAGGCCTCCCTCTGCACTGCCCAGGAAATGCTGCTGTCCTTCACGGCTACTGAGCGATGGGAAGAAGGGAGCGCAAGGAGAGCTGTGGCTCTCCAGGCTGACCAGCTCCAGCTTCAGGAGAGGTCTCTGACCATCTCCATGCACCTCCTCTGCACTCCAGAGCTCCACACCCTCCTCATCCCATGGGCCCAGGGCTGAGCAGTGCACATCCTCTCACTAACTGACCCACAGCTCCTCACTCCAGAGGCATCCCCAGCCTTGCATTTCTGTCACCGTGATATTGTCCGAAAAATCCCTTCGCCAGCATTCCTTCTCCTGGGAAGCTGGGAAGCTTCAGCTTCTTCCTGTTTTGCTGCTTTGGAATGTGATTTGGGGAATTGTTTACCCAGCATGGGAATTGTTTTAACTTAATGACCAATCACAGCCAGCTGTGTTGGACTCTGAGTCTGTCACAGGTTTTTATTATCATTCTTGTTTTAGCCTCCTGATGTCCCCTTTCTCTTTCTTTAGTACAGTTTTAGTATATAATTTTCATATATAATTTTCATATATAATATAATATGATATGATATAACATCTAATAGCATATAAAGTCATATAACATCTCATAGCATATAATGTCATATAATATAACATATCATATCATAAAATAACAAATCAGCCTTCTGAGAACATGGAGTCAAATTCTCATCTCTCACCTCATCCTGGGGACCCAACACCACAACACATTTTCAGTGTGGTGATGATGTCCTCTCTCATAGGAATCAAAAGCCAGCTTTTTACCAAGTTTGGGGGGCAAGTATTTGCCACAAGACAGAGCAAGCTGGATGTAATACAAGGATTGTGATTTCATACTCCTGCTGCACTTGCTGATAAAATAAATGTTCATGTGATAAAATGAAGAGCTGAGGTTTTTGTTATAGTCTTCATAGACTATAGTCTAGTTTTTGTTATCAGGTCTTCCTTTGTGGTTTTTTTTAACCTGTAAAACACAACTGGTAGCAGGCATGAACAAATCACTTAATATCTGAAAGATATGCCCCTATTTTCCACCATTTATCCTTTACTTTCCCCTTCAGAGCAGCAGGATGTGCATTTCCTATGCCAACAGCATCATGGCTTGAACAGAAAAAAACACTGGAACAACCCCAGGAAAAAAAAAGCCCCAGAGCTGAAAAACATCTCAATGAAATAAAGGCTGAGTACACAGGAGTGATTTCCCCAGCTGAACAAGAAAAGGGGCAGAAAACCCACGCTGCACAAACCAGACATTGTGTTCCTTAGCTCCTTTCAGAAGAAAACATTTTCCATAACAGGAAAATATTTTAAAAGATTCAACGACTCCAAGGAACTGGGGTTGGCTTAACCTACTTTTCTGCCACGTGGTTCTAGCTTTCTTATCTAGGAGTGAAGACATATGAGGAAACAGGTTATAAACCATTTACTTTGCAAGTGCAAGGGTCCAACCCCCCCCACGCCTTCAATTCAGCTGACAAGGAACTTATCAAACACAATAACCATGTTTCCTTTAATGGGAAGGCTGCAATGAATGTCCTAATTTGTCACTGAAGGACTTTCAGAAAAGGTAAGATTAAACTTCAATGCATCAGTTCAATCCTGGATCATTTCCATGATGCAGGCAGACAAATCCTGGGATCAGCCCTACAGTTAGAACAGGAGCAGACCCCTCCTGGCAGAGCCCAAAATCACAGCAAGACCTTGAGAGCTAGTAAGGATTGATTTTTAAGCCAAGTAACAGGATGAGAATGCTTGGCTGGCATTGTAAAACTCCTATCCTGTACCTGCTTCCTACTGCCCTAATTCCTGTTCATTATATTCTGATATTCATATATTCAAACAGAACTGCATCAAAGAAATCCCTGAACTCCCTTAATTCCTCCTGCTAAAGGAGACAACTTGAAAAACTCCAAATACCTGCTGCCTGATTCACTGCCTATGATAACACCTAAAGAAATTCCCTCTGATAGCAAATTATTCCTGTAAACCCCACTTTGGGTACTGAAGCCAGCCTGCTACAAGCAGAGCTTTTATGCTCACTATGAAATGCACACCAGTATGGAGGAACTATTTATTTCTGGGGTATTTAAGGGTGTGGAATATTCTTTCATTCCACCAGTTGATTAGGAGAGCATTTCACAGATATAATAAACCTGTGTTTCTCTTAAAAATGTTATCACACGACATTATTTTGCAATATGTGTAACATTATTTTAATGTGTAAATTATTATTTTTTAGCTGCCTGGGCTATGTATTTGCAATCTCTGAAGCATTCCTAGGCATACAGTGTTACCCAGGCTTGTTGGAGTAGCTCCTCGTGGTCACCACTGATTTTTATGGCACATATTGAGGTAATAACTGAAGCTTTCCAGGATGTTTTTGAAACCTGCTTGTTACAAGTCTTTGTAATGTACCACACAAATAGATTTCTAATGTTTCTTTTCCTTTTCCATACAAACAAGTGGAAAAAAAATAATTGCACAATGGCTGCTATTTCTAGACACATGAAATACGTTTCAAAGCACACAGTGTTTTCAAATATTCAAAACCAGGCAAATAATTGGAAAAACAATAATAAAAGAAGCAAGAAAACACTGCTGAGAAACTTTCCATTTCCTTATCTTTGCACATCAATTATGAGTGTTCCTCAGGTATTTTTGAATATTCACATGAAAATTACCTGAACAGTTGTCTAATTAAAAATATACAAATCTTAATATGAAATATTAAACCCACTACAACCCAGGAGACATTGCCTTATTATACACACCAGCATGGGCTTTTAAAACTTTTCAGTGATTTCACACAGTAGGAAAATCACTGGAGGCAGCTTCTTTACTTTGGTTAGTAAAATCAAGTGACCATGGTGATTTGGGCATTATCACCATAAGCAGATCTTTCTGTCCAAGGCAGGTTAATGTTTAACTCAGGTCTAAGTCCCAGCTTCTGTTGAAGGTGGACTCAGCTGTTTGGTAGCTTTTTTTTCCCTCTGTTGTAGTGTATGATCTTAGGAATCCAGTTTTCTGGGAACAAATTAAAAACCTTTGTGAAAGATCTTTTCCTTCTCACTTCTTCTCTGCCCCTTTGATCCACCAGATTTGAAATAAGAGCATTACAGTTAAGGATCAATTTTGGAGATATTCAGTACATAATGAGTCATAGCTAAAACACTAAAATGTAGCGCAAAACCCACCGAGGTTTGGGGGAAAAAGAATCCAAATTCTAAAGAAATTGAACTCTGTCTGTAAAGAAAAAGGCCTGAACACTGTCATCCATCAACAAGATTGAAGAATTTTGAAACTTAGTGGGGTTTCTCCCCACTGCCCTTTCCTTGGCCTCACAGCTGCATCTTTAAAGCACATTTCAGATGAGAGAAGGATCTTGCTTTCCAGCCAGGAGACCCTGGAATCCTCTGGCACTCCCAGGCTCCTGCAGCATTTCTGGCTGTGCTGAGAGAGCACACCCAGCACACCTGAGCCCACCTGCCCTGTACCTGAGCACTGCATCAGTACAAAAGGTGCCTTCTGCAGAAGTGCTCGGGTGTTCCAGCCCACACAGCCACCCCCAAGCCCCTGAAGAAGGCTGGGGAGCAGAACTGACCAGCAAAACCAGGATAGAAACCATGAATAAAGTCCTGGGAGCAATGAATCCAGGAAGATCCTTTAGAGGATCAGTGTATCCCTGGGACTGCAATTAGGTTAAGGTGCCAGGTCTTATCAGTTTATATTGGTTTTGCCTGAGGGTCAGTATTCTGAAATACACTCATGAAAAGCAAAGGATTCTGCTTGAAAAGAATGTCTCTCTTCCATGCAAGTAGAAAATATGCCTGTATCTCTTCCTTGTTTCTCATTTACACACACACACACAAATCTAATTATAATCAATGCCCAAGTAAATTTTCAAATCTTTCTCTCCTTCCCTTACCATGTCCGTTCCGAATTAATCAGACTCTGA